ACAGTCCCCCTGGGTGGGAGTGAAAGTTAATAATAAGGTAACAACTAGCTGAAAAATAGATTCAGAACTTCGAAGTAGGGACGAACGGCCTTCGCTCAAAACATCGAAGTTCTCCTGTATCTCTCTCAATCCGCAGCCGTTACAGTCGCTATGCCTACACTGACACAAACTATTCCGATTTTCGTTTACTTCTATTGCAAGAGAATTAGTCGGAATGCAATACATAGGTAATGAAGGTATCAGCCATCTTTTTCCATCACCAGCTAGCTATATATGCCAGTAAACTTTGAAAAAAGTGAAAGCCGTGTCAACAGTTGTTTAGAATGAAACTAGTTAAAGTTTTTCCTCCAGAATGCAATCATCTTTTCCATTTTTGTTCGATGTTGGAACTAATTTCGGTTCCATATCTAGGAGAGTCTCCAGAGTGGGCTGGCCGTTTGTCTCTGGTAGGAACATGGCGACGAAAGAAGCCTGTAAACAGAAGAATGCCATGATTCCAAATGGAAGCATCGGATGAATCCTTATCTGAAAGTGAAAATGAATAATGTTGTCAAATTTTTGAAAGTTTGTTTTTAAAAAGTTGATACAGTAACTGTTGGTCCAACATTTAGTTTGAAATAACAAATGATTGCGAATAAGATTGTAAACATTCGCAAAATACTTTACTGAATACAAAATGACCAGATAGGGCTGGAAAAATAATTGTTTTCCTGTGAACAAAGACAAAAATTTCCTGCAGACTATGCAGTGCCTTTTTTAACTATATATCTGGGGGGGGGGGGGGGGGGCAATTGCCCCCCCCCCCCAGGGAAAGAATTTGCCCCCCCCCCAGTAAAGCCATTTCTGCTCCCGAAGTGCGAAGCAGAATTGCTCATGATTGCTGTCAGAATTGCAGTCGATTTACTTGATAATGAGATTATGCCCTTCCATAGCCTCCTCCACAACCATCTTGTGTGTAATTCATATTGTTCTTCACCGAGTATTTCATACTAGCGATAGATTTCATGCAAACGTACAATCCGATAAAATGCTAGTTCCAAAAAGAATAGATTTAGTTTAGATTTTTAACTGTTAAATACATAGCATGAATATTTCTTCTCAGATTTATTCTGTATCGTATGAAAAAGCAACGCAATTTTGAGAATGGGGAAATGGTGTCTCATAGAACCTAAAATGATTTGAATGCAACATTTCTGATCAAAATCACATTGGGATTTTCTCCCAAACACCCACCACCCACCCCAGCATCACAGAGAGGAAATAAGGTGACACTGACCCCTCCTCCTATTTTTCAAGATGACTTTTCCAATTTATTTAATTCCGAGTAGAAATGTCTGGAAAAATTCATGTCTTCGATGTACTTTATAATCTTCGGAATTCTGCTAGATATTTCACTCCCAAAATGCTTGAAATAGCAATTCAGGGACCCTAGATTTCAAAATTTTCCCGGGGGTGCATGCCCCTGGACCCTCCTAGACAGTCTCACACCTTCGGCATGAGGTTTCCCCCCCCCAAAAAAAAAAATTAAGGTCTGCCTACGCCACTGGTTATAGCTGTACGATTATAGCTATAAAGAGTTGAAGTTATTGTTTAAAGTAAAATATAGGTGAAGTTAATAAATTAAAGTTTTACAAAATCTCTTCAGGCTCGCGCGTTCGCCAAACCTCGACGGCTCATATTTTTCGTTCTGACTTTTTCCCTATTTTGCCCCTTCAGTGAAAATTCCTTAAAAAAGGCACTGAGACTATGCACCATAGGATAACGTTTATATACATAGACCGAGGCCAAAATACAAAGGAAAAGAGAACGAGACTAATTTCCTACAGTCCGGACCGAACAAGCTCAGCCAATGAGTTATTCATAGTTATAATATAGCTAAAAACAAGCCTAGAGCATTTTTCAAAAAACGAACCATGTTCATATCGAATTATACAAATTTACATGTTAGAATTTCATATACCAAAGTAGAATGATATTATATACTAACCAACCAAATTACATAACTTGCACAAATTGAGCCCACAATTGAGGCCACTGAGCCAAAGCTGAACGCCATACTCCTGATAGTGAAATCACAAAGAAGTAATTTAGTATGAGACAACACAAAAACAGTGAATGAAATAACCCATCATTTCAATATTCTGAGATCTTTTTGCATAATGTCTAAGTTTTAACTTTTACTGATATTACTAACCTTATGAATGTTGGGAACAGCTCTGCCGTCCATACAGACGAAGACGAGTAAGCGTTGGTGATAAAGAACTTTGCAAATATTGCCATTATAATTCGAAAGATTGTATTCGTTGATGCTGAAGAAAGAAATATATGTTCCTATCACGCTGGGGTACTACAGTAGGACGAGTATAACCTCGTGATCGTCAGTTAATTATAGTGGAGCGGATAAGCGTATAATTTTGCAATAATAGACCTTACCAATGGACCTATTCCCTATTGAACAAAATTTTGATCCATATTACCCAAGGGAAATTGATACCGCGCTTTCTGAAAAAAGGTATCAATTTCCCGTGCTTAATACAAAATGACAGGTCTATATTATCCGCATTTTACAACATTTCGCAACGAAACTTTGGAATATTACTAATTTTGTGATGCTCTTTGAAGCTGTGATAAAATGTTTGTCTTGACTTGTCTAGATCAAAATTTTGTTCATTGGACAATAGGCCCATTAATCTCTTTTACTCAATGGCCTCGTTTTCATGTTAAATACTTTTGTGCATATTATCACAGAGTATACAGAGGCGGAACTCGCGGCGATTCCTTTGTTCTTTGTGTCCCCATGCAACGTCATTTCCACGCGCCACGCAAATTGCTCTGGCAAGTGTCATTCGTCGTGTTTTCAGTCAAAAGCATAGGCAAAACACCGTTCGAAAGTAGAAAAATAAATATTTTTGCGAAGTTGCTCCACCGATCTTCATTTTGGGATTCAAATTTGAAAGATAAATGGTAAGTAGTTATTTTTATGAAAAAAGATATACGTTTATAGGCTAAATACAAAGAAAAAAATAGTATAAACTTTGTACCGGATGGCCATATTTTACAATCTCGGTGCTTATGATGTACTTCTGCCAAGAAGCAGATTCCCATTTCGCTAATTTAATGCGGGCCAAACGTATTGCAGTGCTTTCCTGTCTTTTACATTAATAAGAAAGCATAGGTGCTGATTTAAAACACTTCCAACAGGTTCCATGTAGCTTTGGGATTTGTGAGCAAAAATTATAAGTTAAACTAACTATGTTTTTATACTTTCTGTGCAACTGTTAACCACATTCACAAATGTATAATTTCTCCAGCAAAGAAACGTTTCTTTACGGATTGTTAATCCGCCTGCACTGCATAAGCCTTCAAAGGTCAGAGATCTTGAACATGCAGAATAGCAGAGACTACAGTCATTGAGTGAGACATCCTTTGTTTGTCACAAAATTATTATGGCATATTGGACAGCTATGTTAGATAAGGCACTTCCTTAATAAATAGCCTGACACATAACTCACATAAGTTCATGCTGACTATTTAAGTTTTGTTCAATTTCATTTGTTTTGTGGTCGGTATCTTCAACTGCTTGGATTAGTGGTGGACTTGTCTGATCATTTCCTGCAGATAAATCAGATTGGCTAGGGTGAAATGCAATCAAATAGGCATCAGAATCTTCAGCACAGCTGCCAATTGAAAGTGGTGTCAAAATATTATCTACAATTTGCAAAATGCTCTGGTGAACTGGATGGGACTAATGGGTTGTCACAATCCTCCCCCTCCCTGCTGCCTAATGAGGCCAAAGAAGCTCTCCAGAGGATCTTGGTTGAGGCAAGGAATGATGTTGGTTAAGGTCTTGAAATGTAAATACTACAGTCTAATTACTACTGACAGTGTAAATACTACAGTGAAATGTAAATACGACAGTGTAGTGTAATTGTGGTTTAAAAATACAAAGTTTATTTTAATAAATGTTTATTTTATTTCACATTTATATGCATTTAAGAACTTAAATTATTCAAAAACTAAATAAATATGTGTTCAATGTCAATGAATATTGCTATATTCTAAATTTTTTATTCCAAAATAGACAATAACTGTTTCCTTTATAGTTAACCCCACATCATGCTTTCATGAAAATTAATACTAAATAAAAAAAGTAGCCAATTTGATCCATGTTTCCTCTTACAGTCTTTGCTTTATATGAAAAGTTAAATACTATGAATAATTGCATTGTTCCTTTTATCGATAAAGAGTTTCCCATTAAAAGAGAAAGTATTCCTAATTAATCCTTTCCCTGTTAAAGTGTGCTCTCCCCTTGACGAGTAAAATCGTCTGGCGTTAGACAGAGTAAAATAATCTGGCGTTAGACAGAGTAAAATCATCTGGCATTAGACAGAGTAAAATAATAAAGTAGGGTGCATCAGGGCACAATGCAACTCAATGGGTTAACTGGATCGTTTGGTGTTAGACAGAGTAAAATAATAAAGTAGGGCACGACTCAATGGTTTAAATTAACAAGTAAAATTGTCTAGCTTTACAGTACATCTTCCAAGGGGGGGGGGGCTGGATTTGGGAAGCAGGCCTACCACTTTTAGTTGCATTGGGGGGGCTGCTTTTTTTGAACCTCAATTAAACTATTACAGTAATCTGAAGGCCTGTTTATATGGTCTCTGGGTACTAGGGAAATCCGAGCCACACTGGCAAGGCAAAATTATATTCATATCCTATTATAGCAACTGCCATGCAGGTGTTTGCATGGAAAGTTTTGAACTTGTCTTGCCTAGTGGGATGATCCAGGTAGTAGGATCACTCCCTCAGCATCTCTATTACTCAAGAATAATTATATAAACATTGCCTGAGGCTATGTAAAATTGGTAGGCATTCCAATAAGATCAAATAGTCTCAGGTTTTCCCCAATCAGGCGAACAAATTAACATAGTTGTAAGATTATGCATCTGATTCATTCTAATAAATAATGTACAGTATTTCAACAGGAATGATTGGCAATCTAGAAAAGCAAAATAAAAAACAGATTAGATTTTTATTAAACATGTACAGTGACTTGGCATGTCTGAGAAATTGATCTTTGAGAGCCAAAAAAAGGTCAGTGCACTGTCAATAACCAATGCACTAATCTAGGGAAATCACTATAAAGTATAATTTGACCAATCCCCCACCATTGGGTCAACATATAAGTTAAATAAAGTCTATATGAGTATTTTAGAGTACTGTGGCTCCATGTCCATGACTCCATCAGTCCATGTTGAATGTTGATGTTCATTTTCGTATCTGAATATGCTGTTTATGCAATGTTTAAATTAACGACAACCCTTTGATACAACATTGCACTTCACAAAAATATATTGACAATTTGATATATATGAGCTAGAGAAAAAAACTCACATATAAAGTTGCCAAGTTCCAGCTGGAGTTCAGGTCTACAGAATCGAATCTTCAGATTGCCAGAAATTCTCACTCCTTCGGGTGTCTTTTCTCATTTTCGCCGTTAAAAATGGTTTTCGTTCAATTCGCTTTTGCTAAGAAGACGCAGTGTGCCATTTATTTGCAAAATTCGTGCAGAAAATGAAGATTGATCGGTTACTGCGCTTAAAATCGCCGTTTTACTGTCAAAGTTTTGCATTTCCCTATCTTTTTCCTGATAAAAATGTGCATGACACTTGCCAGAGGGTCGCCCATGCGCATTAAAAAAGTGGGGACATGATTTGCCTCGAGTTCCGCCTCTGTATATCCTTACTCTGTGCCTATGCCGAAGGATTTCTCTTCTGTATGATCGAAAACTAGAAAATCTGGACTGGCTCCTAACCAAGGAAACTCAATGTTAACGACAAAACCACATTTCGAGCATACATTAATATCCCATCCTTCATTGTTTTTAAATTTGCAGTATTCTATAATAGCCTTCCCTTCCTTATCTCTTCCCCATTGACAAGGTTCTGGACACTTAGCTTGTTTGGACTGATTTTGGATTTTGTTTAATAGTGATGTTGGGAATTGTTTTTCTTCTCTTAACTACTGCACCGAAATTTGACAAAGTGAGTCCCTTATGCCGCTCCTCAAACCACTTGTCACTTGAAGATTGATCCCTGGTATTTTTTTCAATCTGGAGTATTTCTGAATGCATAATATTTGTAGAATGTTTCAATTTCTTAACTGTCTCAATGTAGCTATTGGATTTCTCAACTGAAGTAGGTTGTAAATTATCTAAAACTTTTTCACGGATGGCAGTGTCATTAAAGTTCAGAGTAAGGGATTCAGTGTGTCTCTTTTTTGATGGAAGTTCCTGGTGGATAGCCTCAAATGCATATGGCTTGCAATCATTTGACTCCAATAAGTTGCCTAAATAGCTTTTCTCTTCTAGTGCATTCAACTTGCTTGCCAATTTCTCTATTTCAGTCTGTTTGATAACTTTAGCAAAATCTGGGGTGGGATTATACACTTCCTTTTCGGGTAGTTGTGATCTTTTACGCTTATTACTGTTTTTAATATCTTTTTCGTAAACAGCCTTTTTAAAAACAATGGTTTCATACAGAACTGCCTCATCTGACTCATTCTTTCTCGGTACATGCCATTGCTATAATAACTGTGTGCAAGTAAGGTGATCGGGGATTTCAGTCATGTCTAATTGTTTATATTCGATTACTTGAAACAGCAATGCAACAATATGTTTACATTGTCCACCTTTGCCAGCTTTACATGTGCAGTTGCTATATACAACCTCCCCATTGGCTTCATTTAAATGAACATATACTGTATATGTTATGTTTTTCATGACAGCATTTACACCAGCTTTAATCAAGAAACACGAGATAGTATCTTTGATGACATTTGCTTTAACTGCAACTTGACCAACATATTTATCCTTGAACATTTGATATCCTAACTTTTTGTGTTTGTGAGCACCACCAGATTGTTCAGTTCCCAAATGCTTGCTTAATAACTCATAATTAAATGCTGGGAGGCCATTTAAATCCCTTGTCTACCTTTTCAATGTTGGTATTTCAGTGTTATTCACCTCAAGTGAAGTCTTTATAGGTTCAACCTCCATATTTAATAAATTTAATAATTTATTTACAGTATTTACAATATTAACAAATTTCAATATATACCCTAAATATTAATTTTACTATTTATAATTTAAAGGGGAAGTCAAGTCCGTTCTGCGCATCGGTTCTGCGCATAACAATAGAGGGCCCTCTGAGGTAAACATTGCCCAAATTTTGAATGTTTCGAATTTTTCTGAACACAAACTCTATTTCATATTCATGTAGAAGCATAACGAACCAAAATGGTGTTAGATATTCAGACAGTACATCATATTTTAAAAAATACAGCAGTTTAAAATGTAAACAAACCGTTTGTTTACATTACGGACTTGACTTCCCCTTTAACTAAATATTTTTATATCCTATCCAAAAATTTATATACAAAATCTAAAACGACTTTAAGAAGGCCTAAAAAGTTTAATATTTGAATATACCTAAAATTATTCTAGAACTCACAAGTAATTTAAAAAATTTAACAATGGAGGACACAAACCAAATTGCACTTCAGCTAGAGGACAAACAACAATAATAATAGCATTTATTTTAACACGATAGATATTTACAGCATAAGCTGATGGGGTCGTGTAACTATATCCTAATAATTAAAAATTACACTTTATACATTAGACAAATGTATGCATACAGTAAGTTAATGTTATTATTTACACGTCAGTTTTAAGAACCTTGCAGTGTTTCTAGATATTAAGAGGCTGTCTCTCTAAGAACCGACCAATGACTCTCGACTCAAAAAATGAAATTCTTTGTTACTTTCACAATGAAATGTATTTACGCCAAGAACAAACAAACACCATTTGGAATTTTGAAATTTTATTAATTTTTAAAATTTCAGCGATTTTTCGGTCCCGCGCCATCAGGCAGAAAATCCTCTGCCTATACCAGGCATAAAAATTAGCCGAATTCAAATACATATTTTAGTAAAAGTATTCAACCAAATTTTATAATTTTTTCACCCACCAACGTGAAAATTATTCTACTTTGAAACTGGCCTTGTTTTATGATGCTTTACAGAACAGTATAAATACAAATACATATAATAGTAAAAGTATTCAACCAAATTTTATAATTTTTTCACCCACCAACGTGAAAATTATTCTACTTTGAAACTGGCCTTGTTTTATGATGCTTTACAGAACAGTTATGGCAAACTTTAGCGATAACAAGCACCGGGTCTAAATACAGCTTTGTACACATATCAAATTCAACTTTAAATTTCTCAAAAGTGGCACCTAACTGGATTCAGTGACTAATATGGTTAAAACAATGGAAGTTTGAAGTACCCATATCCATAATAAAACTCGTTACCAACCGCGATTTGAGGACTCGACAGCCTCTGAAATTTGATACAATTTGGCTATTTTGTTTAGCTTCAATTAAAGCAGAGTTTTGACGTCAGAACTTCCAGTCACTTGTAAAATGCGCTGTTATTCCATTTTTTTACACAAGCCGTTAATATTATCATAGTTAAGCGATTTTTCTGTGTTCATGAACATCACAAGTGGATTTAATCAAAAAAGATTTCGATCAATGCAGCGAGGTAAACGTGGTACGCTTTAGTATTAAAATTAGCTACTCGGGGGGAAACCCGGAAATTATTGTCAATGCTGATATTTATTAATCTAAACTCTGTATGTCTATTCTGCACAATTGGAAATGAATTTAAACTGGAAAAAAGACTTGATCTAGAAGACTGCTATAGATCCAGTTGCAATCGTGCATGCCAATTGAATTGGATTTGGATCATAGTTTGAATAAGCGTTTTTGATTAATGTTTCAACCAGGGCTTGGCTGAAATTTAATAGAAAAGTCGTATATGGAATAGTCTCCAAATGACCCCAACTCTATCCTGACCCCTACCCTACACCCACCCCACCTCTATTGTGATGTCATTTGAGGACATTTATATCAACTTCACCTGGAATTTGTTTAAGGAGAGCTAATAAAGGGTGAAGTTTATTTTCATACAAGAGTTTTCAAATGACGTCACAAAAAAGCGAGGTTGGGGTAGGGTTGGGTTTGGGGCAGAGTCATACTGGGGGTGTGGGTAGGCCAGGGCATGTGGGGACTCTTATATGAAACGTCGGCCAGAGTAATGGTAGAAACTGTTCACAATGTATTTAAAATGGGGAATGTTAATTAATGTGAACCACAGCCATTAACCCCCGCAATGCTTTTGACGATGAAGATCAAACCACTTTCCCCTCCACCTGGTATCTTTGTTCATCAGGATCTGTATTCTCGTCGACGTTGGAGAAGAGCGCAATACCTCGCCGACCAGTTTTGGATTCGCTGGAAGAACGAATACCTCCAATCGCTTCAATCCAGATCTAAATGGAACAAACGTCACCCTAATCTGGAAGTTGGTGACATCGTTCTCATGAAAGATGACACACTCTGGAACCTTTGGCCAATGGGAAGAATCACAAAGGCAATCAAGAGCGAAGATGGTAAAGTTCGGAAAGCGGAGGTGATGGTATACCGCCATGGAGAAAAGAAGACTTACACGCGACCAATTGGGGAACTTATACTCTTATTGAACAACACACAAGTTAGGTAGCAAGGACGAGGAGTGTGAAGTTATGCTAATATGTAGAATGCATGCTTGACTAAATACATACATAATTAATCGATCTACTAGAGTAGATAAAAGGCCAGATCTTGGGATTTTGGGGAGGGAAAAATTAAAACACAGGGAACACTCTACAAGACTTCAACGGAAATCATTTATGGGGAATTTGAAGGACTTCGATCTCATAGAGTTATAGACGTAAGTCAGTTCATTTATTTCATACTATATTTACAAGCTTATCGTGCACAAATTTATAAACTGTGTGCTTAGTGTAGCGTATTATTGATTTATAGTTTTCACCAACGGATACACAGGAATATACAGGATCAAGTGTAGCTTAATACTAAGCAAGAATGTATCATTTATATTAAATCAATTTAAACTGTGTATTCGTTTGGTTGACACTGCATTCTCTGCCCGCGACACGACACTAGTGACTCGACTTTGTTGAGAATTGCCTCCCGTTGTTCCCAACACAAGTTAAAGATAACAAACACTATGTATTTTTATAGTTTTATTCACCAATCTCATGCTCGCTTTGCTGTGTTTTCCTGAATCCCTCTCAAAAGTAAACATTTCACCGGTATATTCCAGAGCTGTCCGACAGTTGGTGAGTATACTTGCATGTCTCGCGCGATAACATAACAGCTAAATATAGTTTCCGACAACTTCTGATAGTTCAGAATGTACCATCTCCAGCATCACCTTAACACCCGAGGAAGTTTACCACGTTCTTGCTGCTCCCGATGAAAACAAAGCGACTGGCCCTGACAAAATACCAGCGAAACTCCTCAAAAACTGTGCGTCCAGTATTTATTTATCGCTATGTGATCTCTTCAACAAGAGTTTATCTATGGGTAAACTTCCAAATGAGTGGAAACTCTCCAATATTGTTCCAATCCCAAAGAAAGGTCCAGCTGAAGAGGTGTCGAACTATCGACCAATATCTCTGTTGTCCTTGGTCTCCAAAGTCTTCGAACATTGTGTCTGCAACCAACTCGTATCACACATTTCCACTCAACTCCACCGTCTACAATTCGGTTTCCTCAGAGGCAAGTCAACCACCTCACAGCTTCTGCACATTCTCCAGGATATTCATCAAGCGTTGGAGAGTGGAAACCAAGTCGACGCTGTGTATCTGGACTTTGCAAAAGCGTTTGACAAGGTTAGTCATAAGCTTTTGTTGACTAAACTTCACAAGTTTGGAATAAGAGGTGACCTACTAAGTTGGTTTGAAAATTATCTCTCTGGCCGCTACCAAATAGTCACTGTTCTGGGTGAGACCTCGGGTACACTCCCTGTACTGTCTGGTGTTCCTCGGGGATCAATCTTGGGGTCCCTCCTTTTCCTAGTATATGTGAACGATTTCCACATTCCATATTTGGCGAATCAACTGTGGCAATGTTTGCTGATGATACAAAGTACTACTGTTCTGCAAGAGATTTACCCAACTGCGAAGGTCTACAGAATGATCTGAATAATCTTGTGAACTGGTGTACTATCTGGAAGATGGACTTAAATAAATCTAAATAAATCTAACAGTCTCAACAGATTATAAACTACTGGATAGTTCTCTGAAGCAACTATGTCATCAAAAACACCTTGGGATTGTTGTCACAAAAGATCTCAAGTGGACGAAACAGGTTGAAGAAATAACATCAAAAGCGAGCTCAATGCTAAGCTTCATTCGTTGAACAGCCTCCGACATGCATAACATCCATGTGCGAAAGGTCTTGTACTTGTCCTTAGTGCGCAGCAAGTTAGGATATGCCAGCCAGGTGTGGGCACCTCAAACTGTCACCGAATACTGTCAGAAGGTTCCAACGCCTCGCGACCAAATTCATCCTTTCCCTTCCTTACAGAACAGCCACAACATACAGGGAACGACTACTCGTTATCGGTATTCTCCCAGTCTGTTATTGGCACGAATTTCTAGACTTAGTTTTTATTTACAAGAGCAATGATGTCAATGTGTCAATACGAACAACCACCCGGACGACTAGAAACGCTGACCCTGTCAATGGTATTCTTCTTAATGTTTCTCGATGTAGGACGGTTAGCTACAAGAACAATTTCTATGTGAGAGCACCTTGTGTTGGAACATTCTCCATAGCAATATTCGTGACACTTCAAGATCATTAGCTTACTTTAAAACCTCTTTATTCAATTACTACTTAAACCTTTTAGAACAAATATACAACTCGGACAATCCTAGAACATTTAAGTCAGTGTGCGTCAAATGCCACTCAATTCTGTCTCTTCATAGCTTATTAGTGAGGACATGTTGACATTTTAGCATAATTTGTTTTAATGTTATATATTGTAACTTATTGTAAGGGACCCCATAATTGGAGATTATTTCTGTGGCTAGTCCCTGCCCGAATTGTATGTAAATTTTGTAAAGTGTTAGTCTTATTTATGTCTGTTATGTTTGGCGAATCTTGTAAAATAAAATAATAGATACTGCCTTATTAGTATTCTTTATATAAAGAATACTAATTAGGAGTGTTTTATCAGGTGTAAAGCCACTGCACGTGACATATTATGGTTGACATGATTTGCCAGTGAGCTTATGAATTATTAATGAGTGTTTGAAATGCCAGTTTAAGTTCTGTTGTAACATGTGCATTAATAGTTTGTTATACTTTATATAGTTTAACACAGCCTGATAAATAACTCGAATGTAAAATACAATGTCCAAAATGGCGACTTCTCAAAGGAATTATTAAAACTCTTTATATAACAAATTGCGAAAACTTATTATAGGAACCCAAGTTGTTGTTGTAATAGAGATAATATCATTTTAGTGAAGTGGCTATTTGTACTGGAATATGGCAGCCAATTCTTACATTTCGTAAATTAGTAATATAAAATAGTTTTTTGCGAGGAAATTTTTAAAGATATTTTAAGAAAAATTTCTAAGTCAAACAGAAAATCGACAGCTAAAACTAAAATTTGCTTCGCATGCATGCAACGCCTTCGCTAAAAACGCTACCGGCAAGCTTGCTGAAAGCGGTCCCAACTTTTTAAACTCTCAAATAGTTTATTAGACATTTATTGGTTAGGGTTGATGAAGGGTTTAGGTCTGTTTATCTTAAATATTCCAACTGCAGTACAAATAGCAAATCAAACTCTGTGTATCGTTCCAGTACGAATATCCACGTCATAATTTTAAAGCAAAAGTATACAAGGGAAACAATAGTTCTGGGTCTTGACTTATACAGTGTTCTGAGTTTACAGTATTAAAACATTCATACAAATGGGGGGTGTATAGATCAGTATTTTATAGGGGGTCTTCAACATTTAGATCATCAAGAGGGGGAGAGGGTTACGAGATTCTTGTATATGACATAAGAATCTCCCCCCCCCCCCCAGGGTATAAATAATGAACAATCCCTTATTTTGTCATGCTTCCATGCCAGTTTGAAAATATGATTAAATTATTGCAATATCTCCATTAAAAACGTCAAATACTTCAGCCACTGGGCCCATAACCTATTGGATTTGAATATTTATTCAAACAGTCACATTTTTTGTGAGATAATATGAACATTTAATGAGTAAAATATATTGAGATACAACTTGAACAAAACTGTAACAAAAAATTACATGAGGCACTAAAATGGATACACCAAACGTTTGAATCAGTAATAGTAAAGTTGTTTTTGTGGAGGATTGGAATTCAAATACAATTGTTAATTGTTGCACACTCACAACAAGAATGATCACTTCATAAAAAGAGCACTTCATTGTCTGAAAAGATGTTTATATCCAGGCGTGAAATAGTTGGCAATAATTTAATTACCCAGTTTTAATAGAATCATTGTATAAATTGTGTATGCGGTTTTATTACATAAAATTTTAATACATAAAATCATACTGATAAACATATGTCGGTTCTGGGTGGTTGCTGTGAATAAAACTGTGGCTCCTACTTTCACTACTAGATAAGTGAGTGCATACCAAACGATCTAGGCTGCTGACTAGTGGATAATCCAGTTGGAACAGAACAAAACAAACCTGTGTCAACATCCTCCATGATCATTTCAATATCAGTGGTGGAAACTTTGCGAAATATTGGGCAGTGAGTACCAAAAGCACAAGATTTCTAGGGGGTATGGGCAAATGCTCCCAAAGAAGATTTTTAAAATTTGAATCCCTGAAATGACGTTTGTAGCATTCTGAGAGCACATTTTGTAAGAAACTTCAGGTTTTCAAAACATTAATTTAATGGTGCATTTTGTTATATATCATATGGTAAGCATAAGAATGACATTTCAGAGAAAATCATTTGTGAATGGAACTGCAAGGTCTTGGTAGTAGTCCTTCAGTTTATATTTGAGTATGGCAGTAGAAGTGGAGGGTTTCAAGTCTTCAGGAAGGTTGTTCCACAGAGGCACAATTCTGTTGAAGGAACTTTTGAAATACCTTACTTGTATTAAAATTTGTGTCGTACTAATTTTTGCTCAGCTTTAAATTTGCGCAATTTAATTTCACGCACCTTGCGCAATTTAATTTCAAGCATTCCGAAAAATGTTGACCAATTCATTTCCTAACTTGAAGGAACAATTATTCCTCAACAATTTTATAAGTTCCTTAATTAAAAGGTTCCTGACTTCCTGTTTCATTGACCAACCAGATTGCTCAAAAATAAAATATAAAATTTGATTGGTCAATGAAACAGGAAGTTAGGAACTTTTTAAGGAACTTATCAAATTGTTGAGGAAATTGTTCAGAGGTGTCCCTTCAAGTTAGGAAATGAATTGGTCAACATTTTTCGGAACGCTTCCGATTGGCACGACCGTAATAACTAAACTGACTTGCATTACCAACAATGAGTGTCTCATATTACACCACAAAGCTTTTTGCGCTGATTATATTTCGCACCCAGCGCTGCGCAAATTCTAGTACTGCACAAATTTTAATACAAGTAAGGTAGGCAGTTCTGCAAAGGTTGGGTCTGTAGCAGTTGGTAGAACTGAAGCGGGTTAAATGATGGGTGGGATGTCAATATAATCTTCAGGGTTTAGGAGTAGTAATCTTGAAGTATGTATTTAGATGCTTGTTGTTGAACACCTTCAATACAGAGAAGGTCCATTGACGTTGATTGAGGAGCACAAAGTTCACTTACATAACATAGATGAGCTCTCACGAGTGCCAGATAGAGTGAGTGTTGATATTTCATATCAGTTTCATGGATACAGTTACGTTGGAGAAAACTGAGCATCTGATTTGCCTTTCACACAATATTGGTTATGTGAGATGACCATTTAAGTTGTTACTAATTTTTATGCCAAAGTGCTTTTGTGACGATTTAAGGGTTATCAGTTTGTGGTTTAAACTGTATTTGGGTGACTCAATTAATCATTTGCAGGAGAATCTTGATTCCAGTGCATTTGAGATAAAACTTCAATTGTGAGAAGATATCAAGTCCCTAACAGAATTGCTCACTTTGTCATTACAGCCTGACACAGAGTCTTGAATGTTGAACTTACAATGTATAACATGCCAGATATTAAAAGCAGTTGTCGAGAACATTGCACTAAAGAGAGGCAGGCAATTTTCCCCTTGACAAGCAGATGTTTTCCACTTCTCCTGACAGCGCCAATTACATCCACATTGAGTGAATGCAGCTTTTCGAAACTTATATTAAGACTGCCATTCATTCAGTGATGACAGAAAGAAGGCTAAATGATCTAAACACTTGTGGATGTGAAAAGGATCTCACCGATGCAATTGACCTGGACACTTTTGTTGATCATTGGGCTGAGCTGCCAAAAACACAACACCTTATTCATGTGAAGTAATTCTGATTGTCATTCTTCAGTCAAATAAACTGTAATGAACTATTTAAAATCTAGTGCTAATTGGTATAATTTTCTAAAGAATTTGAGTTGTTTAGAAAGGCTAATATACTATAAATTCTAATTAAAACAACAGGTTCATTTCTAATGGTCTACTTTTTGACACCCTGTATACTATTTTTTACATAGTTGCTCGGCTTTGCACTATAACCGCTATTATTGCATTGAACTATTAAATTTGATATTAATTGTATTTACAACAACAAGATTGTGATATTAAACCCGAACGCCTTGCTTTCACCGATTCACTCGTGCTGGGCACGCCTTAAAATAGTTGGCTTTTCTTAGCAAAAAAGAAGACTACAAAAGTCGGTCCCAGGACACCCCAAATTTTGTTTGAATGTGCCCCCTGATCACAGAGGGCTAAAAAAAGAACAATGCTATGAATTGCTTTGTAATTAAGAGCGTGTGTCTCTAAAAACTGTCCACTGACTTGAGGCTCGAAAAATAAATTTCTTCTAAACTTTTACCATGAACTACATTTACTTTAACAACAAACAAATGCTGTTTGGAATTTTGAAAATATATTTAGTTTCAAAGTTTTAGCGATTTTTTGGTCTCGCACCGTTGCGGTAGAAATTTGCTGGGTAATTAAACGAAAAAATGGACTGAATTTAAATAAACATAATTTCAAAAGTTTTTTTTCCCAATTTCTGATATTCACACCCAGCACTGGAAAACTATCTTAATTTCATCTAAACTAACTTAGGTTTTCAATTACAGAGCATTTGTGACAATATTTAGAGACAAAGAGCGCCATGTCAAAATACGGCTTTCAAATCCTACTATTTTCTACACTGAATTTCTTAAAAGTGGGACCTAATTACATACAGTGACTAGTATAGTTGGAAAAAGGACATTTAACAAAACCGCAATAAAACTCGTCTGCAAACGCGATTTGAACAATTGAGAGCGTTTGAAATTTGATATTTATGGGCTTTTGTTTACTTTAGAATGTTGGTGAGGTCAGACGTCTGAGTTCATGTCACTGCTAAAAATGCGCTGTAGTTCTGCCAAATAACATTTTCTCATTGCCATTCTCTCAAAACAAATCGATAATGTCATAGTACTAAATTAGATTTTGTTGTTTATCTTACAAGATATTATCTTGCATATCATCTATTTGATGATATTAAACATATAAAATTGAATCACGCTAAACCCTTGCAAAAAATGTCGCCCGGGGAAAACCCACCAAAAGCTTTTGTTGTGTATTAAACTATTACCTTTCCGGTAATTACGTCACAACTGCATGGAAGTGAGGCTGAGGGGCCAATGCGTATGCCGTATGTATCGTCTTTGTGTTGGCCTCTCAGCCTCACTTCCATGCAAATTAACAATGCGATTATATATCTCTAATGTGGACTATATTTTTATCAGTTACGAGAACCAACTTGTGCAAGTACTGTACACCATAAATTTGGAATACATCCCGTGATACTTCCAGGTTAATGACATATTTTCCTTTGCAGTGACGTGCAGGTGCAGTGTGTTAGACAAGGTCTCCAGTATCGGCCCAAGTTTGGTACCAGTGGTTTGGGCATACTGTCGTAGAGCGTATTTCTTCGCTTGATATTTCATATAAAAATCCCGCTCTTCTCAAAATCAGCTCGCGCTCCCTAAAACCAGATCTCGACAAACGGCAGCTTGAAAGATGGTTTTGAATGTTGTCATCACAATCTTCTAAGCGTCTAATGCCCATTTTCCACCCCACTCCATTAAGGCCTGATTCCACACACGCTTTTTCTCGGCGAAATGCAAAATATTTCGCCTGTTTCTTTTGAATTGCGACCACTTGAATAAATTATTTCTACTTGATTGCCCACAATTCAAAAGAAACAGGCGAAATATTTCGCCGAGAAAAAGCGCCCGTGGAATCAGGCCTTTATTTCGCCGCCACTGGCAAAAAATTTTGACAAAGAAATCATTTTTTTACATTCATTCACCACTGAAGAAATTTGTTCTCCTGCTACAGTTGCTTACAATTTTCAACTTCTGTTTGACCTTCCATTGACAGCGCGAAAGAGCAAAAAAATGAACTTTTTTGAGTGGAAAACAGGCTTAATACCCGATTCACCCCGACACCCTCCGCATACAGTTGAACCGATAGCATTAAAAGAACACAGATTATCCATACTAACTCTCAAATTTTGCAGCAATATAATTCAAAGATCAACTTTGCAGAAAGGTTCCAGAACTAAACTTTATAATTTATAGACTTTTCGAACTAAGCAATAGTTTAGTATGCTGCAACGCAAACTCTAAATATAGCATGTGCCATGCATGCAGGCTTTTCCCCAAGTAGCATATTAATTTGGTTAATTCGCCGGTTAATTAGCCGGCGAATTTCTCCCGCGACGGTGCAAGACCAAAAAATCGCTAAAACTTTGAAACTAAATATATTTTCAAAATTCCAAACAGCATTTGTTTGTTGTTAAAGTAAATGTAGTTCACAGTAAAAGTTTCGAAATTTCTTTTTCGAGCCCCAAGTCAGTGGGCGGTTTTAGAGACACACGCTCTTAAAAAAGTCAGACACTCCGCTAGTCCATGACCACAGACCATCCCGTAATTCTGTGCATCTGTCCTCTATAGATCATGGCTCTCAACCAATGAAATCGCATGAATTCTTAAGGTTATTATATAAAGTGATGTGCTTTAATTTCACATACATTAAGGTGTTAACCAATATGTATTCTGGTCATCACTAACTAATTAGCTTATGACATGCTTATGAAGCTTGATATTAGCTTATTAAGTCCAACAATTCTTGCTGTTTTTCTCTCTTAGCTAATTGTACTTATGTCAAAGGAATTGATTATGTGGATAACTTCAAGCGAAATCAATTTTATTCAATGAAATTCCGACTTTCATTGACGATTCCCACTATTTATAGTACATTGACATAGGACATCATAGTTAGTAAATAGAAAAGTGGGAATCGTCGACTTCTCTGTCTTTTATTCCTTATGCATGCAACTGTGCATTTAAATTCCCAAGAACAATCGTATACATGGTTGTTTATGGGGACGATGAGATATTTACAGTTTTCTTCAAGTTACAAAAACTTATCAATCCTTTGGTAAGGTTTGATTACGAATATAAATTTGTTTTCTATGGTTCATTTTCATGATTCGGATTTGTTGATTGCTATTGAAGTGTTGTTAGATCAGCAGGAACCCAGTTATTCATCATGAGAAGTGGAGATGTAGTGCTCTTGCTTTAGTCAATTGCACTTTGCAATACCATTAAATGTGTTGAGAAGGTCTGTCAATGTCTTTCCCTCGTCAGAAGTTCTGCTCCCATCATCCAATATGAATGGGTGTGTGCATTCGTCAAGCACCCTTGTCTGCATAGCATCTGTTATTCTATGGTAACACTTGGCTTCTTCCAGTAAGAGCAAGCATACATTTAGCCGCACAAGATTTGCCTAAAATTTTATCACCTATCGCAATGTTTATTGGAACCATATGTTTGAGACATGTCTCGTACATATATCATGGCATTCATCCCATAACCTGCATGAGTAATAGAAATAATTAGTTTCAAATACAATACAACAATTTGATTAAAAAATTTTGTGGATACATTTATCGCATAGGAAATTCTTTCCCAATGACACCTTAACATGTTTATACATTCTAAGTTCTTTGTATGTTTGCATGGCGATAAAATATGATAGTTTTGTATTTGTGGAAACACCACGTACATTTATTACTGCAAAGCTTTCGGTCCATAAGCCCGGATCTTCATCAGTGCTAATAATATGTGCATATTATTAGCACTGATGAAGATCCAGGCTTACGGATCGAAAGCTTTGCAGTAATAAATTTATGTGGTGTTTCCACAAATACAAAACTATCATTTTATACATTCTGTTGAGATAATAGTTTGTTATGGAAATACAAAGCTTACTTACCCAAAATAAATACAGAGGATAACCAGTTATTACCTAAGGCATTTTTCAATGCCAACACAATGTTCCTTGGACCATTTGAACTTAGGGGGTTCAGGTTTGGCAATGTCACTCCACACATGGTCATGGCAATCACATTTTTTATTTGTACAGCTGAGATATGCATTTTATTGTTTGTGTTTCCCTGCTCGATTAGCTGGCCATCTTCATCAATTTAAATGTGCTGTGAAGCACCCAAACGCCCATCCCTTCCACTTTTCCTACTCTGCTGGCTGCCATAGCTTCAGTTTCTTCTCCATTGGTCATGTATTCTCTATATAATATGTTGAACTACCCTTCTGACTACCCTTTTTCTTTGTTTTCTCTTTACGACCCATATATATTATGTTTTCCTCAGCGATATTATTTATCCATGTATTGTTTTACAGAACCACCTTGTTGCTTGGTTCTTTTTCCTCTCTGACATCTCTTACCCCTAAAGGTACCACCTTCTTGTTTCCTCTGTCAACCCATAATGTTACTCTGTAAGAATAAAAATAAATTTGGTGTGGTATTAGTACTATATATAACTTTTTTGTTTTTCATAGGTAATCCTTTTTTACAAAAAAACAAAAGTGTTGGAAAAAGTGTTATACTCCTTCCCATAAGAGGTAAATATTTCTTTGTCTCGTTTTGCCTGTAATCTAAAGTTATTTTTTTCCTTTTGAATGTGCATTGTTTCTGAAATGGCTACCACCCATTTGCGAATCTTGTCACGGCATCCATAGTATAGTTCGCATTGATACATCAACTACCATTACCAATTTTGACGAATAAAACCATCTACAATTCCGGACGCCGGAGAGGGATTATATACATGAAAAAAAAGGGAACAAAATATAATCGAATCAGGGGATGATATTCTGATTTTCTGTTAAGTTTAGAATGTTTGTTACAAGGCTATTGTTTACATTGTCTGTCACCATTGCATAGTCGTTAGGGTTTCTTGGCTAGTTTTACTCGATTTGCTTCGATTTACTTCGTCCCTAAGTCTCCAAAATCTTCATTCCTAATTTCAAACACTTGTACTAGTATCTTGATAATATAATGCTGGGTATACAGCCAATTAATTCAATCCAAACAGTTTAAATTTCCCGGAGCTCACAAGTACACTGAGTAGAGTAGAGTTGATATGCTTGTAAAAATAGTGGGATCTGGGTTTCATGGGTACATTCCCTATATGCAAAAGAGGTTTTCTGGATGACATAAAGACAAGTCCCGCACAGCAATTTAGACATATTATATACAAATAAAAAATTATTACCTTTGGGTTGAAGTGAACTTGATTCTTTCCTTCTTCCCTTTCTCCTTACCATGCACTATGGCAACTCACTTTTGACTGCAACAAACTCAATGGCACATGCGTCCATCCTTAGCAGATCATGAGTACAACACACTCCTTGTGGTCTGTTGCAAGTTCTCTTTCACAGGAAGAACCGTTTTGTGTTATCTTAGGCAGGCATCCCGCCTGGCAAAGTATACAACACATTCTCCCAGATGATTCTTATTATCAACCCACACCTTTTCGATAAGCTCGAACAGTCGCTCTTTGTTATCTCCATTGGCAAGAAACTTCTTAAAATCAGCAGGTACACGCACATTTTCACTTCTAATAACAAATTTGTCTCTATCACCGCGGAGACTTCGTTCACTGTTCTTTATTGATCGAAGCTTGTACGTATCGCATGCAACGTAGACAATGTTATATTGCCTTGGGACATCTGAGAAGAGTAGCAATGTAAGATCTTTAATTTAAACATATTTGGTATCTTGACCATGCTACGAATAATGGCTGCGAGGTCAAGAATATAGATTCTATAACTTTGTTGAACTTCAGGAAGTTGCGCATCATTTTCAATCAAGGAAGTTAACGTGGCATTGAACAGCTTGCTTTTGGCGGTTTTTCTTCTGATTCCATCACATGTTGCCATCGATAGTGGAACTGGTACCAGCGGGTAATACAGAGCTTTATCAATGTTTATCGGAGCATTCTGTTATTGTGACTTGGCAGCAAGAAGTCCGAGAATATCCCGCTGAACAGTGATTTCCCTAGATTTACCCTTTGCAGACACCTTTAGCTTCTTACTTGCATCTGTAAAACTCTTCCATTGAACTTGTTTTATGGGGCTGAAAAAATTATCCTTAACTGAACATTCCGAGTTTAGTCGCTCAAAGAAATTGTTTCTTAACAATAACCCACACTCTTGGACAGTCAAAAGGCTTTCGGCTACGTCGTCTGTCACGGAGTTACCAGATGCTAGGTTGTACAATTTGTCGTGGTCCAAATCGCCGCTGAAGGGATCAATAAAATCATTCTTCAACACATTCACGATGCCCTTGACGTTGTTCTCAGATTTAATAATTGCAGAATCACGTAGGCACTTTCGAGGTTTATTTTGGGTGTTGTTTAGACCAGCTTGGTTTAAAAGTGCGTCGACATATTCAGCTTGGAATGGTCTTGTGAGAACCCATTTCTCATATGCACTATCCAGTGTTGTGAAGTTCTTGATACCACCTATATAATGAATAAATAACCGTGAAATTTTCATGCCTGCGTAAAAAGGGGCAGAGGATTAAATATAACGACAAAGGAAAACTATTTCCATAACAGTACCTGTAGTTTTTGAGTTCTTCATAAAGGTTTGCTCACCAGCACCATCAATAGATTGTCTGATGTCCAAGCTATTACGACATGCGGAAAATCCCTTGTCCTGCAGCTCTTCCATTGCACCTTGTCAGCCTGAATAACATCCGGATTCGAATTCTACGTCAAAAATAGGTCTATAAGATCCACGTCGCGTAAATTACCCGCTCAGGTGATACCTACCTCACTCCCCGCCCGGACTATAATGGTTTCAGAGTTATAGTGAAGATACCATATTGTTTATAGATCCATGTTTATACTTTTTAAAGTTTTTTCTCTAGACCAATCAACATTTAGACCACTGATGCTGGACCAAGTGTCTCATCACATGAGCGAATGACACAGTTGAGAATGACAATGACGCACCACAAGATTCAGCAATGCATGTAGCTGAGAAAGTCATGCAATCATTAAACAAGTGCTTAGGCGATGGTAGGGCCATACCAGTGAATTGCAAAAAGTCAATTTTTGAGCACCTGTCTGAACTGTCGAATGATGAAATTGAAAGCATGCAGTAGGCCAAGTAGGGGGAAATTCTGGCAGAGAATGTGGAAAAAAGATTTGATGGAAAGAGCTGAATGGGTACTTCGAATCATGCAAGACAACCATGGTACAGCAATGAAAGGAAATTCTTTTTTGACAAACAGTTTTTACTCAAATGTGTGCATTCTTCTGCAATGGTTCTAGAACAATGTGCTGGAAAAGGCTACTTTAACTTTTTAATTTTTTGAAGAGCATTATATCCTATACTGGAATCACATGCATGCAGCAACCCCTCACCTTTCTTAACAGATGAAGTATAGAAATTCTACATGAAGTATTTCACATTTAAAATGTGTAACCTGATGTGAGAAATAAGAGATAATTTTTTAACCAAACAAGATACTCCATAGAGTGTCAACTCGCCGGGGCTATACAAATATGCACTTTACCATATATGATACATACATGCAGTACACAGCTATTTCAATTAAGATTTAAGGTTGTGAGGTTGTCCCCAAGCTAAGTGGAAAAGGCTTGATAATTAAACTTTTCAGTTACAGTTTTGTTCACTCTGTTTTGAACTATATCAACATATAACAGTGCTCTGTTTATTCAGGTGAATACCATGTTATAATATTGTTTATTATCCCACTGATTTGCATTGTGCCCCAATGAGGGCCCCCTATACTTTTTGCGTGAAGCGTGATGGGCGTATTTTACTTAGCCGTGAAACGTGATCGATGATTATCTTAATCCGTGATGGTATGACTTCCAATCTTTTTACGTGCACGTGAAAGAAAGATTCGATTTAACAGTGACCCGTGAATGGCAGATAGAAATATGCGTGATTCGTGAATCATCTGTTTTGTGTGATCAGCTTTCCAAGGTATAAATACGGTTTGTTGCTGTTTTTTGAAGTACTTGATGTACAGGAGCCTGTTTTCGACATAGCTGGAAGTTTGAAAGCATGTCAAGGTAAGTACAGACAAGTACAATGATTCTACAGTTAAGGAAGACATCCTATAATAATTCGTGAATCGTGATCGCTTCGATTTTTCCGTGAACGTGAAGGAATTTTTTCAATTTTTCGTGACTCGTGAAAAGGCAAAATAGTTTTACATGAAAGCATATTGTCAAGAGGTATATAGGGGGCCCCCCAATGGCAATCATGCACCCTACTTTATTAGTTTAATGTCTCATATCAGTCGATTTTGCTTGTCAAGGTGAGAGTGCTGCCACTCTCAAATTGGCTAGGTTTGTATTGCAGGTAGGTGGCTCAGTTTTGAAGTTTCTGTTAGTATAATGACCTCAGTTCAGGACTTGTACAATCAGACACAGCACTATTACATGCGGTGTACAAATAAAACTTCCGGCGTTTCCGCCGGCTAGGATTAAACTGTGCTGAAAAATGTTCAAAATAAAATTTTTTGGGCTCAAAATACTGTCAAAATGAAGAGAGAAGTGAGACAAATCCACTGGTGTACGGCCAAAAAGGGGAAAACCGACGATACCAAAGTTCTCAAGGATCAAACGTACTGCATTTGTTATAATTAGTTTAATAATTTTGAGCGATTTGTCAACAATTCAATTTTGCTTGCCTTTCAAAGACAAACGCCATAAACCGCTAAAATACTGTTGTTTAGTAATACATTTGACATCCGTAAGTTAATTCATATGGTACAATTTCTTACACTGAATCTAACGGTGGTATTTTTATCCTTATTGTGCCATTAGGCATTACAGATACAAAGACAAACATACTGCAAGTGTCAAGTGATTGTCAACAACACGTACTGTGAGCGATTAGTCAACAATACAATTTCGCTTGATTTTCAAAGGCCATAAATTGCTAGAATATTGTTGTTTAGTAATACATTTGACATCCGTAAGTACAATTTCTTACACTGAATCGAACGGAGGTATTTTTATCCTCATTGCGCCATTACATTAGGCATTACAAATACAATATATTTCACACTGCAGTTTACGTTCATAGCTAAGGTCAGCTAACTGTAAGTATTTAGGCCTTATGACGGTTGTTGGATAAATTTTATATTGATGACACAAATATGCTTTTCATCAAGTAGTTATATTAAAGTTATGTTATGTAGTTTAAGTTATAATAACCTTTTACTTTGAAATTGTCTTTGGCTCATTAATATATTCAGATTTAGTATATTATGATTGTGCACAGGAATTCAACAATCTAAATTTCGGATTTTCAGAGTCATGCACCAAGAAAAATGCATTAACTAAACTAGCAAGAATGTCCAGAGTTAGACACAATGCAAAATCCATAGAAAACAGGTACAATTCGTTGGAAATTTTAAACGAAATTGTTCGAAACACTATGCCCACTCCATGAAAGGCCATCATTTTGAAAAGGATAAATTGGGTAGCTCATTAATATTCTATTTTCTGGCTATCCAAGAAAATTGGAGATCCACTATTGGAAATCCACTAAAAATGTGTGCCGAAACCTATACTCGCCCGGGCACAGGTTCCCCAGTGAGTAAAAAGGAATGATTTTCAAAATATGGAATGTATCCTTTTATGTTATGTGGCTTTCAATAGCCTAAAATTTAATGTAAAATAAAACAATAAAATTTTTCGAAACTTTTATAGCCAGGAAGCTGCAGGGGGGACTGAAAAACTCGTTTTGCCAACAATACTTGCTCAAAAATACGGTAAAATATATTTGCTTCATAGGCAAAAGCTATTTTTTTAGTTATATTTTGGTCAAGCCACATTTACTGTAGGTAAAAGAGCATTAAAAAAGCACATAAAACATTAATGGTGTACTGTGTTAATTGTCCCAAATGAACGATAATAATAGTCACCACAATTTCATGTAAATACCAGCTTGCATAAAAACATGTTATTTATCGAGTTTACAAGAATAGCCTAAAAATTTCGCAGATATTAATTTTCACACTGAAATATTTATAACACTTACCCAAACATAGCCAAGACAACGATTATATTTATTAAAAATATCTGATTCGTCTTCGACAAAATTCGTATTTGTGCCTTTCGCACTTTCATGAAACTGCAGGCTTGTTTCCAGTTAAAAGTGAAAAACATCGCAAAATATATTGTTAAAGCAGCAAAATACAATCTTTGCAAAAATTAAAACAATTTTTTTAGCACAAGCTTCTACTTGTGCATGCATACACTGTTGAATACCGTTCATCACATAATGGAGGACAACTTTGCACTTTGGTATGTTCTCAAATACCTGGGTGTAAATAGCCATGTGGAATTAGTACTGTCGCGATGTGGAATTAGTACCCTCGTGCTTTGCCTCGGGGATTATTTGGATAGAAAATGAATTTTTATTATGGTAGAAATCAAATACATACAGAGTTCGAATACTTAAAAGAAAACTTGGTGGTGATCTTAGAGTAATTTGTGTTTGGCTGCAAAACAGCTGGGCATTTTGTACGGAGCATGCGCTAAACTTTGTAACCACGCAAAACACGCACACAAAATGCCTTCGTATGTATTCGGTAAAATAGATCGGCAAGTCTCGTATGTAAAAATGGCGACTGATAGTAGGGATCGCAACCGGAAGCCGGTTACGCATTGGAACAGCTTCAATTTCCGGTTAATATTTTCTCAAATATGCTACCTTCAGTGTGTTATTGTGCAAAAGAGAGCAAACAAATCGTTTTAAAATTAATTTTTAAAAAGAAAGTAGATCTCAATCTACAAAATGAGTGTATTTTCGAAGCCTGAAGTGCTGTAGTTATTTTGTTACGAAGCATCAAAGTTCGGGCATATTTGCAATTTCGCCACCATTAAAATCACGCGGCACGCATTTACTCACCTACCCGTCCCTGTTCAAACGATTTTCCGCAAGTGAGCCCGACCTGAATGCAGGTTTAAAATAGCACCACCTTAAAGTTTAAAGCCTGGGGATTCTTCTGAACTATGTCGTTCTTGAACTTTTTGAGCAGACGACTTTGTATTTGAAAAGTTAATTTTGAAAAGCAAGATACGACTCAATTTAAAGCAAAATGTCTGCAACGACAGGTATGTGCATAAACTATATGTTTTAAGGTTTCTTTTGATATATAATTTGTTTTGTTTAACGATCGAGCTCACTTGCGGAAATTCATTTGAATTTAGATAATTTTGCAAGTTCGCTACAATGGCGTGCGTGGACATGTGCTCGTGGGACTGTCAAAATCGGGAAGAAGAAAATTTGATTGCCCTGCTTAAAAACGATGAAAAACTTTAGTGTTGGAAAGGTAATAATAAAATATGTGATTGTTTATTTAATAAAATCATTGAAACAAGCTGCAGTTTGGAGGAGAACCAGGAGGAAAGGGTGAAAACAAGCCTGACACTATTGATATGATTATCACTGCGCATATTAAAAACCTTAAATGAAAGGTAGTCAATATGCTTGCAAAACAAAACATCCAAAGGGTAGTTGTACAGTTATTTTACAGCTCTATAAAGAGCACAAGCAGGCATCTGTTGTCTGTTGGCGATGATCCGAGTCATGAGTGTCTGTGACTTGGAATTACTGAGCAGGTATTGCATGATATACTGAGTGTAATAACAACAACAGCATGGTGTTGGTAAGACCCC